TACACAAGGAAACCTAGACAGCACTGAAGTTGTCATCTTGAAGGACCACCTTCCAGAATGGCAGAGAATCCTCAGCAAGAAAATAAATATTTCTTGAGTCTCTACTCCATGCCAGGCCCTGGGCTAGGCCCAATGCATAGATGCACCTTACTTACAATCAATCTTAGCAATACACTTCGTATTAGTTTCCTAGAGCCGCCATTAAAAAAGTACCATAAACTTAAAACAACAGAAATTTATTATCTCACAGTTCTGGAGTTCAGAAGCCCCAAATCAAGACAGTGGCAGGGGCCTGCACTCTAAAGCCTCTAAGGGAGAATCTGTTTCATGCTCTTCTCCTAGCTTCTGGCATCACCAGCAACTCTTGGTGCTCCTTAGCTTGTGGCTGCCTGACTCCAGTCTCTGCCTCTGTTTTCACACGGTGTTCTGCCTGTGTCTCAGACAGCCATCTTCTTATACAACACCCGTCATATTGGTTTTTTGAGCGCCCCTACTCTAATATGACCTCATCTTAACAAATTAAGGGTCTGCAATAACCCTGTTTTCAGATAAGATCACATTCTGAGATACTGGGCTTAGGATTTCCAACATACCTTTTTGGGGTTGGCGGGGGGAACACAATTCAACCCCTAACACCCCTGTTTTTATTCCCACTCTTTGGACAGGAGAACAGTATCTCCAAGAGCTTGAGGAATAGTGCAAGGCTACGGTGGTGTCAGGATTCAAACCCAGGTCTGGTTGACTCCAAATCTATCCTTCTAGTACACTCCACTGCCTCCTGTTTGTGAGGCTACCCATACTCACGGTCAATAGGAAGAATACAAATGAGTCATGCTTAGCTACCCTTTTAACAAATTACTTTTATCGAAGAGAGCAAACTTTCTTGAAAAGGAAGATAAATTGAAGCAAAAAAAGAAAGAAAGAAAAAATACCATCAGGAAGGCCTTTTTCCAGATGCCCATGCTCTGCTGGGCTCTCCCCTCACTGGTATCTATGCTTGAGATAAACAGCCCGACTGGGGAGACTTTGCCACTTCAGGAATATTTGGATGGCTATGGAGACGAGCTGGTAGATTATGTGGACTAAGCCAGGACGGAGATCCCCTCCTCCCAAGTCAAGACTCCATGTGATGCCTGAAAATGGGTCATTTTGGAGTAGGTAGGGCTGGGCATGGATTTGGTCTAGACCCTCACAACTGGATAGACTCAAGCAACTTGATTATCATCATATTAGTCAAGGGACAAAAACCCATCTTGAACCAACTTAAGCTAAAGAAGAAAATGTATTTCATCTTGTCACCCAACTACAGAGGGGCTGGATTTTTAAATGAATGAGTTGTGCCCTTCTCTCTCTAACTCTCATCTCTGCTTGTCTCTGCCTTACCTTGGTTCTCCTGCATTGAATGATTTTGATGCCAGGGATGGTGGCTGTTGGTATTTCTGGGCTTACAGAATGCCAGTGTCATCACCCAAGGGAAACAGATTTCTTCCTCCCAGCTTTAATCTATAAGAATCCAAAGAATGGATTCTTATACAGACGTGTCCTTCCCAAAAGCAATAAATTACCGGCTAGTGGGAGGAGCAATAATGATTGGCCCTGCAAATGTCAGTGTCTTCCCAGGGTCAGGGAAAGTTAGGTCTGTTAACAGAAAAATAGGAAGAGGGGTGCCTTGAAGGCACAAACAGTATATTACAGTCCACCCCTTTACGCTATAGTGGGCATGCCTATGATATACACTCTCACTCCTGTTAATTTGGTTATTAAAAAATCTCATCTAACACAATCCACTTTCCCATCTATAGCCAAATGCAGCTACCCTCATCCTAAGTGAGACCACCCAGAATCATAATACATCCAACTCCAAGTCCAGTGTATCTAAAGTATGAACATCCCTCCCCATCAGGTGTCAGTATGGCTCTTTGTGAACCTGAAGCTTGTGGGCCAGAAGAAAGTAAAACCTCCCCAAATGTAAAATGGTTAAAGGATAGACGTGAGCTTGCGTTTTAAGTGAGACACAGCTGTAGGAACTTGGGAAGATTACAAAGCTTCTAATTACACTTAGGAAAGGGTAACATGAATGGTTACCCATCAGAACACATACCATATGCTAGAACAAAAATTCATTTCTAAAGCAAATAAATGTAATAGTCACTAGAATTGGTTTCCTCATCCATAAACTGGGTTAATAAGAAGGGTGCGAGGGTTGAATTTTAAAAAAGTAGGCATGGCCCCTAGTAAAGTAGACAGCACATAGGAGGTGGTCAAAATGTAAGAATTTTATTCCTATCCATCTCTTTCTGTCTCTCCAT